CTCTTTTAATGGTCAGTGTTGGGCACAGTGGCTCATGCCTGTGATCCCAGCACTCTGGGAGACTGAGGCAGGCAGATCGCTTGAGTCCAGGAGTTTGAGACCAACCTGGGCAACATGATGAAACCCCATCTCTAAAAAATACAGAAAAAAAAAAAAAATTAGCGGGCGTAGTGGCCTGTGCCTGTAGTTCCAGCAACCCAAGAGCCTGAAGTGGTAGGATTGCTTGAGCCACAGGAGGTAGAGGGTTCAGTGAGCCGTGATCGTGCCATTGCACTCCAGGCTGGGTGACAGAGTAAGACCCTGTCTCAAAAAAAAGTCTTTCAGTGCTTGGTGTGAAGTATTAGGTTGTATTAGGTTACAGTGTTAAAATACTGGAGCATTCTAAAATTTGCTCCCCCAATCTAAGAGCTATGTTCTCAATTTCTTGTTGTTTACAGTAGCTCTTGTTGTCCACACTAGCTTTGGACACACATATACATACCAAAAGGCCATAGGTAGGTTACTTCCCTTTCATTTCCACATTTCCAAAATGAGGGTTTGAACCAGATGGCTTTGAAGTGCCTCCAGTTCTCAAATGTGTTGATTTTCAATCAAAATTGTAGGCTCATTGATTTCCATTGTTCAGCTTCATGGACGCTGACTCACGAACGGCCTCCCCCGGCACACGCACAAACACAACAGACACACATACCCCTCTACCTTGTATGCACCCACTCATGCTTCAGACCCCACAAACCGATCAGGCGCCTAAATTGAGAGTAGGGTATAAAAAACAGGCAAAGAGCTGAAACTGTATTTTCTTTTAAATCTTTATTTATCCATGTCATTCCTTTATCCCACCAATGCAAAATTGCGGAGAACAGCTGGGAGCCACGTCGGAGCGGCACAGGCCAGCTGGCTGAGTGACGCTGACCGCTGGCCCTGATCGAGCATCACAGAGGTCACAATGGGAATCAGCTCCAGAGGCCCCCGGGGAGGGCCACCTCCCAGCTCCACAGGAGTTCGGCCTTAAAAACGCTAAGAACAGTTGCATTCATTGTCCTTTTTTTTTTTCCTTTTTTCCTTTAATAATAAAAAAGAAAACCAAAACCTCCTATAATTTATAAGCTATGTTTGACTATCTACATTATATAGAAAATATAGACTCTGTTTACTTTATAACACACATCTTTTTCCCTTGATAAATAACTCTTTAAAATATCTAGTATACATGCCTTGACTTCTTATATATAAGTTTGGTTTTATACATATACATACATATATACTCATGTTTGTAAAACACAATAAATATATACTCAACAATGACAGCCAAACAAATGCCGTTTTGGTTAAAAAAAATACAACAACAACAATAAAAACCAGATGAAGTACTGTAAAAGCACCAGGCAGCAGACAGAAAGCCGTAATTGCTAGAAACTTCTCCCTCCCCTGGGCAAGGCACAGGGCAGAATACTAACATGTCCAGGTGCCTGAAAGAGAAGGAAGGCGGCAAAGGAACGGGTCAGGTCACAAGCTTTTGTTCTGTTTCTTAACCTGGGATTAGACTAAGAATCACAAATAAGTCATAGTGTTTCTAAGGAAAAACCAAGAGGTTCATCACCAGCTTAGCCCTTGTGGTGGCTGCAGAGGACAGCAGAGACCTGGAAGGGGAAGGAGAGAGAGACAGTGACCTTGTGACAACTCCATGCCTGTTTCATAGCCCCTGACTCCGTCTGCCCAGGCAAGCTTTTGATTGCCACACTGAGCATAAAGCCATTGCATAAAGCATGTTCCTTTCATTACTCTTCACTGCTGGTGTAAACAGGAGGATTCAGTAGTGCAACACTTTAGAAGGCTGAATGAGAGCCACATGTTTTGGTGGCCCCTCAAGGGCTCCAGCAAATGGGGACTGTGACATGGGGGAGAAAAAGGCCAGAGGGTCATTGCCTTTCCCTCCTGAGATAGTACGCAGACTCCAATGGGAACACCGAGTCCGTCTTCTTTTAAAGAAGCACAGGAGCTCTTGACTCCTCTTATGAGAAGTCCCAGAAGCCCCAGTCAGTCTGGGTAGGTGTCCCCTGAAACTCAGAGCACAGTCCAGCGGCTGGCTCCTGTGCCTGGTGGGGAGAAGGTGGGGGGGGGGGCAGGCATGCCTGCCGCTGAGAAAGATTCTGAAATAATGCAGCAGTTGCACACCCCTTTTCTTAGATGGCCCTCCTCTCTGATCGTTGATTTTTAAACAAGCTCCCTAATGTCATGGCCTCTGTCCTATAAACTTCAAGGCTCTGATACCCAAAGAAAGTAGGCGGTGGTGGAGCAGTAGGCATGCTCATGGCCAGATTTGTTTTAATGTCTAGGAGTCGGGTGGGGATACGGGTGGAGGGGGTCCAAGTAGAGCAAGTCTCAGGAAATCCCAGAGGTGAAGATCTGAATGCACATCCCCCATTCTTGCCAAATAAAATACAAGTTAGAGATCATTGTTCACATTACAGTCACAATGAGAAATTTTAAACAGCTCATTTTCTGAGTACATTCAAGACATAATTGAGTTTATTTTAAAAAATGGATTTCCCTGCAACAGCTTAGGGAATCCATTCTAATACAGGTTTCAGTTCTAATTCCAACTTCTTCACCCACTAGCCAGAGGACCTCAGACAAGTCACTTTACGTCTCTGAGCCTCCTTTCCCCAGAGCTCTGGAGGTGCTGTGTGAGGCAGCATGAGACTTAAGAGGCAGAAAACCTGACTTCTTGTGCTGGCTCTACTGCTAAAGATGGGGGTGGCCTTGACCATCATTCTCTGTTATATAAAACAAAGGGACGGCACATATTGGACTGTGAAGCCCCTTCAGATGCAACTGAATTTCCTTTCTGCCCAGAAAATCATTAACAAAGCTAATTCTGTCCCAAGTACCCACCAGAATGCAAGAGATCAGATCAGAAACGCAACTTATGATCACTAAATTCAATAGCTGTGGCTCTGAGACAAGAGGAAGAGAGTAAGAATGTAAAGGCGCAGTGCACAGCTAAAATTTGAGTCACAAACAAATGAACTTTAAAGCCCCACTCCCCAAGAAAGGACATTTTCCTATGTTACATTCAGACCCCCACGAACAAATTCCAAGGCCATCTATAATAGCAAACAAGATTTTGAAAATACCCAGGCCTGAGGCTTGCTGCAGCACCTACGATCAAAATCAACTGAGGAAGTCAATTTTAAAAGAGGCTGAGTGATATTTCCATTTGGGGAGGGGAAGAAACACTGGCTACTTCCCTGTGCAGTTCTATAAGCTCCTGGCAGAACGTCAGATGTTACATGCTGCTGGACAGGAGAGTGTTGGCAGCAGGCTGGGTGAGGCTGGAGACCCGTCCATGCCTGTCACAGTCCTTCCTGGGAGTGACAGCAGACCCCTGGAGAAGCTGATAAGGAGCACTTTCCTGCCTGGCGGGAACAGGACATGCCCACATTTCTTCTTGGGAGGCAGTGTGGTCTGGAGAAGATTTTGGATTTGAATGACCCCATTTCTGCCTAACACTTGTGTGACTTTGGACAAGTTCCTCTTCCTCTTACTCTGCCTCCATTTTCCCGTGTGTATAAAAGAAATAGCAATACCCAACGCTATAGGACTGTTTTCATGTATTGCATGAGATAACATACTGAAAATACTCTGCACACAGTGGACAAGTCCTGGAATTGGCCAGTCTTGGAATTGGCCAAGACTACCCAAGAGTCCAGATATACCTGGCACAGTGGTATTTGCTGCCATGTAGGCTAAGGTGGGCCTGGGGTGCCCTACAGTACAATTCTCTGTTGAGGGGAGAAGTCCTGGAGGATCTGATGGTGATTACAGATTCTAAACTTTTGAATAGGCCCAGGGCACTCCCAAACATTTTTAGATACCAGGTAAGAACGCTGACCCACACCCTCCTTCAGGACTTGGAATCTAGGGACACCCACACATGGATGGGAACAAAACAGACAAGTGGGAACTAAATGAGAAGACTCTTAAAGCACTGCCTCCTTACATCAAAGCCCTTGAAACACATTCAACAAAGCAGAAAGGAGCCGAAATATTGCTGGGTGTTAGCTCTAGGTCAAAGTCAGCTAAGGGTACCTGAACCCCTTAGGGCATGATTAAGGGTGCTGGGCTGAAACAAAGTCCTTCTGCAGAATGCTGTTGAGGGCCAGAGATTTCAGCTTCATCCTGCCACCCCAAATCAAGTCTTTGCATGTGATGGGATAAGGGCAAATGGAGCACTAAAGAAGTATCTCAGCCTGGCGCGGTGGCTCACGCCTGTAATCCCAGCGCTAATCCCAGCGCTTTGGGAGGCTGAGGTAGGCGGATCACCTGAGGTTGGGAGTTCGAGACCAGCCGGACCAAGATGGAAAAACCCCGTCTCTACTAAAACTACAAAATTAGCCGGGTGTGGTGGCACATGCCTGTAATCCCAGCTACTCGGGAGGCTGAGGCAGGAGAATCACTTGAATCTGGGAGGCAGAGATTGCAGTGAGCCGAGATCACGCCATTGTACTCTAGCCTGGGCAACAAGAGCAAAACGCTGTCAAAAAAAAAAAAAAAAAAAAAAAGTATCTCAAACCCATTTGCTATAATTTTTATATTTAAAGAAAAAGAACTATCTAGCTCTTTTCTTTCTCTTGTTCCTTCATCTACCTACTACATGCACTTTGGTGGATAAAATTTGAATACACTTATTAAAATATTTTTTCATGCTTCTTTTAAAGAATATATGTTCTTTCTATATACCCAGCCTCAAATGAGAATTTTTGTTTTAGATACTAAATATTTATTACAGAGCTTAGAGGCCTTGGTGGGGACCTCTCTCCCAAACCCCAAGTATTGGGAAAAGATTTTCCAAGTATTATGATTTAGTACAGAAACATACAATTGAAACTCCAGAAATATCCCTATTTAGGTTATGAATGACTTAGAAAAATGAAACCCATTGAGTCATTTCATTTGCTTTCCCTTCATCTCTAATCAAAGCCCTTCAGGCTAGCTAGAAAAAAAAAATAATAATTCCAATGTTTCCACAAAAACTACTTTCCCCGAGAGCAATTTAGAAGAACGAGAACTAAAACAGTCCATGACATGGCCGTCTGTTCAAACTATTATGGGGAGACTTCCATTCCAGTAAATCTCCAGTTTGGGACTGATAGCTGCAAGAGCAGGAACGCTGACCGTGAAGTCTGTCAACAACAGGTGAGGGACCAAATGAACCAGGCACGGAGTTTCAGCTGACCGACCCTGCAGTGCTGCAGCAAAGTCCCATGAAGCAGGGTGACTCTTTCCAGAAAGGCAATACTTCTCTGTACTAGAAAATGCCCAACATTCCCCTGGTGTTTGGACACACCACACTTGCATCTATGAGTAGCCAGGCTTCAAAGTATTTTGACCCTATGGAGGTCAATGAAGGATGCAACTGATTGCGCTGTTCATTCTCAGATTTTGCCTACTAAGGTTGGGGGTGGACTCCAGGCCTCTTAGATTCCCTTCTAGTTCTAATGCCAGCTATCTGAAAAGAACTCTAAACCTCAGCTGCATGTAAAGACACCTGTTGGACTTCAGTGAGCCTGTGAACAAAAGCTACATAGACTTATGAGGAATGGCTTCCAAGTTCACCCTAGACAAATGTTTTATGTGGGGTGAAGGATTAAGCAAAGATAACAAAGGATAATTCCCTGTTCTCTGAATGTGCTTGACTTGATCTTTCTTTCAAGACCAGATCTGAATTTTTAAGAATGATTTCAGTAACATTTGATGGTAGCAAGCATTCACAAATCTGTGTGTGTGTGTGTGTGTGTGTGTGTGTGTGTGTCTGTCTGTCTCTGTGTGTCTGTGTGTATGTGTGTGTATGTGTTCCCTTTTGGCACTGCCTGCTTCCAGCCTGCAGTCAGCATCTCTAACAAAAGCTCTGTAAGCAGAGTGCGCAAAGACAAGAGACACAGGAGATCAATTAGAAGAACATGTTTTTTCCACCATTAGCCTTCTCAATGCTAAGTATGGCCCCTTAGAAACACTAGAAATAATGTTCCTTGTTGTCCTTTTGTTTTGTTTAGTTTAGTACCTACCCCTAAATTCTCTGGTGTCGGAATCCTGAAAGCAAGTGCTGGAGCCAAGAAAAAAAATTTTTTTTTTTTTTTTTAAGAAAACAGGATTCTGATTGGAACTGAAGTCTTCCTTTTTCCATAAAGCTGGATGAATCTCCTAAAAGCTCTTGCCAGCTTGGTGGGCGAGATGGGTAATGGAGCCCCGAACACCTCCCTGGCTAGTCTCACTTTACCTTGTTAGGGAATTCACACTGCAACACTGAGGCACACAGCTGTCCCCAGTCTTTGGGGGCAGCATTTGAGCTTATGGTCAAACCCATACTTGTGCTGGCTTCTTGGCACTGCCTGGAGAGCCATGTGGCAGGGCTACCTTAACACCTCAGTAATCCCTGTGACACTCAATTTCACCTTTACTGGAAATAAAGTTATAAGGTGACTCTGCAGTTTTTAAATTGTTGACAAGTTCAAAGAAGCAATTTTATTCTCTGCTCCCCCTGTTTTGGTGCAATCTGAGCTCTTTCCTTGTGGCTTCGGGGAGTCCTGCTTTCTGCTTGCTATTTCTGACCTCTCTCCACCAGGTGAAGGGCAATGAACCAAGTGCGAAGACACACTCTCAGTGCTTCCTATGAGGAAGCCCAATCAGTCAAAAGCTGCCCACTTGGCTACTAAGTACTTTTGCCCTCAGATACCTTACATTCAACAAATAGCAGCTTCCTGGAATCTGAACTTTCCCAACAGCCTATACCACCCCCCAACCCCAGCCTAACAGGCTTCTGTAGACTGTGAAAATGAGCCTTCTCCTGCCAGTGGTGGGTGTCCCGGGCACTGAGTTTGCATCTGATACTGGTGCCTTGACCTTGCAGGCCCACTTGGCTTGCAGGAGGTCAAGGTGTGTGAGGGGTGGATGAGGTAGGGAGGGAAGCAACCCCTCCTTGCTTGTCACAGTAAAGCGCAGCAGAGGCAGCTAAACCAAACCACTCTGGTGCAAATACCCAGCAGGGGTCAACCCGGGAATGGCAGGCCCTCCTGAATGCTTCCAGGCTGCAGGCTCAGCCCACCAGCAGTCTGGTTTGGGGTGGTCCCCGGGACTGGAGTTTACCTTCCCAGATGCCATTTATTCACACTGTCCCTCCATCTCCCCGATCCCCACATTGCCCATGGCCACCGTCACCTTTCCCTCTCTGTGGACATCCCCCGCAGAAGGCTCAAGTCCCCGAGGTCCCCAGTCTGTGCTAACAGTAGAGGGACATCCTGCTGCGGCGCATGGCCTCGCTGATCAGGTAGGCGGGGCTCAGCTCTGGCTCCTCGGTCATGATGGCAATGTTCTGCCACTCGCCCGTCTGGCTGGACCTCTTGATGGTGTCCACCACGCACAAGGCATACAGGCAGTCGTCAAAGGTGGCGGCCATGGTGAGGGGCCGCCCGTCCCACGTGCGCCTGTCGTCCTGGTCCTGGAAGGCCTGGCGCACCGCCTGCATCATCTTGATGGTGCCGCGCAGGTAGGGCGAGGGGATGTCGCTGAAGGCCTTCTCGGGCAGCAGGGAGTTGCTCACCGGCGTGGCGTCCTGCACCAGCAGCTCCTGCTCCGGGGCGCTGTTGCGCTGCCCATACAGGTCGGTGCCCACGGCCAGCAGGCGCCCGGCGGAGCCCACCACAGTGACGTCCTGCTTGAACTCGCCGGGCACGTTGAAGTTGAGGGTGACCGTACAGCACACCCCACCCTCCAGCACCATCTGGAAGGTGCAGAAGTCATCACTGGTGATCTGGCGGATGCCCTTGATGTGGTCCGTCTGCTTCACGAAGGTCTTGAGCAGCCCGTGGACCTTGACGGCCTTCTGGCCGGTGAGGAAGGTGAGCAGGTCGATGATGTAGGTGCCCACGGAGTGCAGGCCGCCGCCGCCCATCAGGTCGTCGCAGCTCCAGTTGTACTTCTTGCCCAGCAGGCTGCCGCCGTGCACCTGCACCTCGCACACCAGCGGCTCGCCCACGTAGCCCTCCTCGATCAGCTGCTTCATGCGCACGAAGGCCGGCAGGAAGCGCAGCACGTTGCCCATGATGCTCATGAGCTTGGGGTAGTAGTGGGCGGCGGAGGTCATGCGGAAGGCGTCCAGCGGCGTGGCCGTGCGGTCGCAGATGACGTTCTTGCCGATGCCTGCGGGTGGGAGGAAGACAGCGGTCAGCGGGGCGGGACCATGCCCGAGCGCACATCCCTGGGTCAGGTCTTAAAATATTTCACATTAATAGAAAAAGAAGGCCAGGAGCTGTGGCTCATGCCTGTCGTCCCAGCACTTTGGGAGGCCGAGGCCGGAGGAGGGCTTGGGCCCAGGAGTTGGCGGCCAGCTTGGGTCACATGGTGAGATCCCATCTCTACAAAAATAATAATAATAATAATTGGCCGGGTGTGGTGGGGCACGCCTGTGGTCCCAGATTCTCAGGAGGCTGAGGTGAAGGAATCACTTGAGCAGGGGAGGTTGAAGCTGCAGTGAGCTGTGTTTCAGCCACTGCACTCCAGCCTGGGCAACAGCAAGATTCTGTCTCAAAAATAAAGAAAAGAAAAAGAAGATATTCTATGTATTTCAATATTACTTTAAATATTTATGTTGCATTAGTTAATTTGTTGTTTTTTGTTTGTTTTTGAGGCAGAATCTCACTGTTGCCCAGGCTGCATTGCAGTGGTGCGATCATAGCTCACTGCAGCCTCAAACCTCTGGGCTCAAGCAATCCTCCTGCCTCAGCCTCCTGAGTAGCTAAGACTGTAGGCGCCACCACACCCAGCTAATTGTTTTTTTTCTTTTTTCTTTCTTTTTTGAGATGAAGTCTTGCCCTGTTGCTCAGGCTGGAGTGTGATGGCGTGATCTCAGCTCATTGCAACCTCCGCCTCCTGGGTTCAAACAATTCTCTGGCCTCAGCCTCCCAAGTAGCTGAGAATACAGTCACCTACCACCACACCCAGCTAATTTTTGTATTTTGTTTCACCATGTTGGTCAGGCTGGTCTCAAACTCTTGACCTTGTGATCTACCTGCCTTTGCCTCCCAAAGTGCTGGGATTACAGGCATGAGCCATCGTGCCTGGCCATTTTTTTTTTTTTTTTTTTTAAAGAGAAGGGGTCTCTTAAATTTTTTTTTTAAGAAACAGGGTTCTCCTTATATTGCTCAGGCTGGTCTTGAATTCCTGGTCTTAAGTGACCCCCCCCACCCTCTAAGTCCCAAAGTGCTTGGATTACAGTTGTCCTGGTCCGAGAAAGCCATGAATTACTTAATTTCAATGTTAAACGTCTGGTATCGATTTAAACAATAAGGTTTATTTTAAGATATTTAAGTAACCTACATTTTAGAAATGTTTGGCAATGTTTGCTAAGGCAGTATAAAATGTTTCATTTTATATTTTATTTATACAAATCTATAACATTTTAGATAGAAATAGATTTTGCTTTTATATTATTTAAATACAAAAGATAGTAGTATTAAATTATACAATATAATGTTTTTACATATAAAATATATTCCATTACAATTATCTTACATGATGGTTTGTTATATTTTATATTTAAAATATCATTTTTAGTAAAAATGTATTATTATTTAAAATGACATAGTGAAAGGAGAAGACTATTTCTATTTGGACAGAATCAGAATACATAAGCTTAAATCCTAGCCAAGGTGAGTCTGATTAAGTGTGAAGAATTTCTTAATGATACCCTTTGGAGGTCTAAGCTTTTAACTAATGCCTGATCCCCTCCACCCTCCACAATTCCCCAATATTGTATTTTGAGCATTATCATGCTTGTTTATTTTGCATTCTGGATTAGGGCTGGCAGTGGTCACAGAAGTGTTTGTTTCAAGTTGTTCTTTTCCCATAAAAAGCGGATATTGCCTAAATCTGAGGGGTTGGCAGTGCCTGTTTCCTCCCTGACCCCCATCTGCTTCAGGGTGGAGTGTGTTGCTTTTGGCCAGTGGAGGTCAGGCCAAATAAGAATTAGTCTTACGTGATGACTGTAATGTGTGTATAAATTACAGGAAGACCAAAATGCCTCTCGGAGCCCTTTTAGGAGACTAAGTAGTTCTGGGTCTGGAGAAAACAAAGGATCAAAGCAAAGGAGAGTGCCAGGGAACGAGAAAGGGATTTATTCCATGGAAGCCAAGAGCCAGGGAAGAAGAAAAACAACTCAGCTGGACCTGGAGAAACAGCCAACTGGAGGGCAAAAAAAAAAAAGGATTTACACAGATTTGTTAGCAAGTTAGATAAAACAGATGCTAGGCGAAAGACTTGGAGCTACTGAGTGAAAGCACCCATCCTGGGGTAGTCTCTGTGGTCGAGGCATGCTCACCCACAGACCCTCTGATGGAGACCTGGGCACTCCAGCCACAGATGTAGAAGAGACTCCAAGGGAAATGGGGTGATGAGACATACCCCACCCTAACCCACTTGTCCTGACTAGGCACTCAATTGACAAAATCCACAAACCATTACAACACGCTGAGCTAAGATGGGGTTTTGTAAAAATCGAGCAATTGCAGATGTCTGTCCAGGGCCACAGCCTGGCACATGGCTTTCTCATTTTCCCATTGGAAGAGCTAGCCAAATCCAAACTGGTCAGTGCAGATTGGAGAAAGGAAATACAAACGATGGCTGTCAGTTTCCACATGCACATCTGGTTCTGGCCCTGAGCAAAAAGCCTACAGAATGATACACCTCCTTGCCTTTTCTTCTCTGTTGGCAGAGCTGGGCTGGTCCCCCTCATGGCCATGAAATAGCAGTGAGAAGCTCATTTAATGCTTTGCAACCAGGTGAGGACTGACGCTCTGGCAGAGAGATGAAATGACATTGGTTTGTATCACTGAAAGGGCCACACACCTGTGTAACATTATGTTCTGACAATATGATCTTGTAGGCATAAGGCTCGTGTAATACTGGCTTATGCTACCAGGAACAGATTTATATGTAAAGGGAGTGACTGCAGGGACAGGTGACAAATCTGCCTCACACCCGTTGGGTGAAGGCTCTGGCCTCTGCTACACCCTATCTTAAGGCCAAAAGGAGGACACTGACTGCCATTTCCTCAGTGTGCTCTATTGGTCATATTAATGGTATTAAGAAAAGTTTTTTAGGCCAGGCGCAGTGGCTCATGCCTGGAATCCCAGCACTTTGGGAGGCTGAGGCAGGTGGATCACGAGGTCAGGAGATCAACCTCTTTGCAGCTCCATAGATAAAAAGATTCTGATGAAGCCCCAGAAAATGTAACATGAACATGACATGATACACAAAAATGCAACTCCATCCTGAGACTCACGTGTAGATTCCCCGGGGATCTGAGATACGGACATGTCTTTCTTTAGGCGATTTATTAGGTTGGTGCAAAGGTCATTGCGGTTTTGCCATTAAAAGTAATTATGGTGCCCTCTTTTTAATGCTAAAACCACAGTTACTTTTGCACCAACCTAATATGCATGAAATAGTTCCACATTATACAGTAAGGACCTCGAGGATAGGGCTGGGTCTTTTAATTGTTTAAGTCTCCATTAATACCCACAGCACCTTGTGGTACATCCAATGTGCAGCAGGAACCCAGCAAGCCCTGTTGCCTGGCCCCACCTCTTTGCCCACAGTCTCATTCACACTTTACAGATGGGTCTCAGCAACATCTTAACACACAGTATCTTCAAAAGTCAAACAAGACTTCTAGGAATTTATCATAAAGAAATAATCCAAAATGCAAGCCCGGCTTTTTGCCCAAAGATAGTTCTGACTGCATTATTTATCAAAGCAAAAAACTGGGAACAGAGGCTGGATGCAGTGGCTCACACCCATAATCTCAGAGTTTTGGGAAGATCACTTGAGGACAGGAGTTTGAGACAAGTCTGGGCAACATAGCAAGATCCCACTTCTTAAAAAAAAAAAGAGCCAGGCTTGGTGATGCATCCCTGTAGTCCCAGCTTCTTGGGAGGCTGAGGTGGTGGATCACTTAAGCCCAGGAGTTTAAGGCTACAGTGAACTATGATTGTGCCACTGCACTCCAGCCTAGGTGACAGTAAGACCCTGTCTCAAAACAAAAAACAAAACAACTGCGAACAATGCAAATGCTCAACAGAAAAAGGAGTAAGTCAGCAGTCTATAGCCATATAATAGAATATTGTGTAGCCATAGAAAATGATGCTTATGAAGACCTTTCAATGGCAAGTAAGATGATTATGATGTAATGTTAAATGAAAACGCTCCATTCATAGATATATATGATCTCAATCCTCTTTAAAATGACAAAAGAAAAAGAAAATCCCTAGGAGGTTAACTCTGATGAGTAGGATTGGTTGGATTTGTAGGATTATGGTTGGCTTTATTTTCTTCACTACATTTTTCCATATTTTCTCAATTTGTAATTTTATGGTCAGAAAAAAATTCTAATTAAAAAAATCCACAAAGAGACAGGAAGACCTTTGAAGGATAGCACTCACAATGATGGGAAAAGGGCCCTCCAAGGTCTAGGTGAGCTGGCAGGTCCAAGTTCTCATGGACCCACCACAGTTCCTAAGACCCAGACAGCTGGTAGAAGGCTCTGCTGACCCCGAACCTTGAACGCTTCAGAGGGGCTGTTGCCAGGTCTTCTTGCTCCAGTTGCTTAAGACTGCTTTATGATTCTTAGTGAAAGCTGTGGACACTCTCTCTCCAAAACGTGCAACTCAGACAGATGCACAAAACTCTGCCCTAACCTGAAGCCCATGCACGTATCCCCTCTGGTTCTGAGGCTCAGGCATCATCATACATTGTACAATAACTTCTTGAAGCCTTTGGGACATATTGTTAAAAATAAGATAATGCTTCCAGTTCTAAAAGGAACCCAAAATGTACAGCCAGCAGACCCTTCACAAACTGCTGAGCAAAGTTTGTTTTCTCTGCATTCTGGACAGTCTTTCCTTACCCGACCTCTCTCGAGGGGCTTCTGTAAAGCCCACTCTGGGACTTCCAAGATCCTCAGATTCTTTTCCCACCCAAATCTTCCCTATCAAAAGGTTCTTGCTAATGAAGCACAATTCTAAGTATAGACTTCTAGTCATCAGACACTCGTGTGTGTGTGCCTGTGTGTGTGTGTGTGTGTGTGTGTGTGTGTGTGAGTTTGTGTGTATGTGGATTAGTGAGGCACAGAGCATTCCCCTCAT